CTGCAACTTCCACCTCCCAGGTTCAAGCGATTCTCCTGCCTCAGCCTCCTGAGTAGCTGGGATTACAGGCACGCAACACCACATCCAGCTAATTTTTGTGTTTTTAGTAGAGACGGGGTTTCACCATGTTGGCCAAGATGGTCTCAATCTCCTGACCTCGTGATCTGCCTGCCTTGGCCTCCCAAAGTGCTGGGATTACAGGCGTGAGCCACCATGCCCGACAAGAATAGTTTTTTGTAGGAGACTCAAGATAGTCCTAGCCACAAGATCTTGACCCTCAGGAGAGAGACAATGGAAATAAAATAAGAAGGGCAGATATTTCAGAAGTAGAATCAGTTCAAGTTGGTCTTAGTAAAATTATGACCCCTAAGCAATATAACTCTAAAAACAGCATTTGGCTTTATGTCTCAGTTACAGAAGGCTGGGACATATTTAAAACTACAATTTAGAAATTAAGTTTGGTTTAAAAGCCTGTTGCATTCACACACACACTTCTACACACAAATATACAAACACACTGTATACACATATATAGTGAGAATGTTTGAAATGAAGATCTAGAAAATTATAGGTTAAAATCAAGATAACTCGAGACTGACTATGGAAGCAGTAAGAAGGCAATTTAGTTTTGTTAAATTTTGTCTGACTTAGTTTTTATTAAACAGTTACATATATAAATTTAAAATAGAAATTTATTTTTTCTCAAAGTACTGTCTTAAAACGGTTTATCCCATTAACTGACCTTAATAAGAAAATAATTTTCTGTGTATTAACAGGTGGGCAGCTTCACCTCGATTGGCTTCAATTACAAAGTTTCCATTTTGCCCAGTTAAGAAATACTTAAAATTATTCAATCTTCAGAGAATTTTTTAAAAGTATGTGACAAGAAAGGAAGAAGAGCATTTTAAATTACTTCATACGCATTAAAAAACTAGACAGTAAACTACAACTTCCCTATCTTCTACAATCTTCTCAGCGTCTGAAGCAACAGTTGGAAGAAATAAGTTCTCCGTATCCCAAAAGATTTCCTAGAATTCTAAATGTTAATAATTAAAACAGAAATCTTGAAATGCTTATCATACATTTTCAAAGAATGTTCACATATGGTTCACACAGAGATTTAACAATAATAATCAGTTCAATCATGATTTAAGCCCTGGATCTCCTAGTTTAGTTGTAAAATTGAGAAAGTTGTTCTAGACAGGTTATAAACTTCCTTCAAGCAATACAGTACTACAATTCATTTATTGTAGATATTGAACATCCACTACTTGCAAAACATTATGTTACAAAGTCTTGCATCTAAATTATACCTGTCCTTGAGAGCAACAACTAGGAGTCCCTTTTATTCAGCTTTGATTTCGTCACTGGGTTCAGGATGATAGATAAACTAGCTGTTGGACTTACTCTCCATTTTCATTTCCACAGTAAACTCATCTCATTTGTACAATGAAACTTGGAAAACACTTTATTATATCTAGATAATAAAAAAGAGTACCAACAATGAAAGAAAGGCATTTTGACATTTATCAATATAAAACAAGTTGAATAGTTGAATATGCATTGTCTAAACCTATGCTGTCCACTATCATAGCCACTAGTCAGCCACATGTGACAATTGATCAATTTGTAGCCGGTCTGAATGGAGATGTGATTTAAGTGTAAAATATACATCAGATAATCAAAAAAAGAATGTAAAATATCTTGTAACTTCAATATATTAGATTATATATTAAAATAACATTTTGGAGCTACTGGATTATTAAAATTCTTTTTACTTTTTAAATTTTGACTGTAGAAAATTTTAAAATTATATATATGGCTCACATTATATTTATATTGTTCTATGCTCTTAAGGACCTTCTCCACAGATTACCATGACCTCTCTTCATGGCCCTGATCACAAATGCAGGAAAATGAACTATTACTCACATTTATCTTGTAATTCCCTTTTATTGCTATTTCCATGTCTGACCCATGATCTACTTTCATTGTTACATGAAACCAAATCCTTCACTGTGAGGGTTAGGAATGATAATTATTTGATTCTGATTTTACGTAAGGAAGTGTGTGTCAGGGGGAGGGTGGGTGATTCTATTGTCTAATAGTTTGAAACAGACTATGTCACTCACGCATATAATCTACATGCTTCTTTACTAGTGAATATGATACGAAAATGCCTCCAAAGTCCCTGAGCCAGTGACTTGGACTTCGTTTTTACAGGTGTTATTTTCCCACCTAACTACCAGCGACCTCCCTTCCTTTAAAACAAAATGACTTTGGCCTATCTGCAGTCACTATTATGGAATATCTACTATGCCCCCGACTCTTGTTAACATGACTGCCCATGCAGGGAGCCATGACAAGAAAACTGAAGTAACATCCTTTATTTAAGGCAGAATAATGGAAGTCTCTATAATTCCCTTAGACATTAAGAGCATTTGTAAAGGAATATAACTTTCCTTCTCTGTTCATCTGACTTCCTCCTTTAAAGAAAGCTGATTATGTTAAAAGGCTTTTTAATAAAGCCATTTATAAAACAATTTATACAATGACAAAGGACGCAATTACTTTTGCACCAACATTAATACAATGAACGTGGAAAACTTTACTAGATCTAAAGAAAAAAGTAGCAACAATGAAACAAAGGTATTTTGAGATTACTATATCTGTATAAAACAAGCTGAATACTTGAAAATAGTTCAATAGAAAATACAATCAAGGAAATCTATGTGTTAGAAGTCATATTTTTACATACATTTTGTCTTTACTTAATAGAAGTTCTTTGATTAGAATTGTTTTCCAACATAGTATTTATACTGAAGTTTGATATTTTAAACAAAGTATTTTAAAGTAGAAAGGCACTTCAGGAATCAAGAGTTTTATGTACTTGTTTTATTTTAGTGATATGCCCAAAGTCATACAGCTACTAAATGAAATAAGACTGCACAAATGTATGTTGATCCCACGTTCAGCCTGTTTCACATTATGCTGCCTTCATCCTTCAACTTTTGATCTCATTAAAAAACAAACAAAAAAATTCAGATCCAATGAAAAGATTATATTATTAGCACTATTAATGTTCTTGTTTTATTTATTTGGGATGAAAGCATTTTAGATATCGGAAAAGGAGAAATGAAGATTGATGGGTAGAGTGTTGAAATAATTAAATCCTGTTTAAATACTGGTAAGTATCAGAGGCTCATATAATACTTGAAATTTCCAGCACACTCATCTTTTAGTAAATGTGGGCAAGGGAAATAGAAGTCTGGAATGGAATATAGAGTTTAATCAAGGCTGAAAATATTTATTATTTTACTTGGCGGTACTGAATATTCTAATGTACCACATCTGAATGGAAGATTTTAGTAACTTGAATAACTATCCCATGTGTAAATTATACCTTTGTAAGTAATATAACTGTGGATAAAACACTAGGACATCATTCTAGTGAAACTACTCCTGGTAAGCCTATCTTTTGCTCAATATTAATGGAGCAACAAGATAGCATCTGATATATATTACTATGAATTATTCATTTCTCAGAAGTATTCCCAGAAGCAACAAAAGACGATTGTACTATTTCTGCTTCAGTTTCTTCTTAGAAGAGCAAACTTTTGTTTTCTCTGTTCAACTTATCAAGTCTTAAATTTTTTTTTAGAGACAAGTCTTACTATGTTGTCCAGGCTGGCTGTAGGGCAGTGGGTATTCACAGACATGATCATAGTGTACTACAGCCTCAAACTCCTGGGCTCAAGAGATCCTCCTGCCTCAGCCTCCCAAGAAGCTGGGACTACAGGCATGTGAGCCACTGTGGCTGGCCCATCAAGCCTTTATTATTTAAACCTATAATGTATCAGCCACTCTTCTGGGGTCTGGGAGTATAAATATGAATAACACCTATAAACACATGCTAAGAATACTTTGATATATAAATTGTATCCAGTGACTCCCTAGAGAGGATTTAGTTACACATACCGTATCTTGTTCCTATGGAAGGGAGATGTGGTGGTTAAGCTCAAGAAGAGGGGTGTTTGTAAGAATATTTTTTAAAAAACAAAAATAGCTCTGACACCAGTCATAATTTTTTTTTTTGAGATGGAGTTTCACTCTTGTTGCCCAGTCTGGAGTGCAATGGCATGATCTTGGCTCACTGCAACCTCTGCCTTCCTGGTTCAAGCGATTCTCCTGCCTCAGCCTCCCGAGTAGCTGGGACTACAAGCACGCCCCACAACGCCTGGTGAATTTTTATATTTTTAGTAGAGACGGGGTTTCACCATGTTGGCCAGGCTGGTCTTGAACTCCTGACCTCAGGTGATCCACCCACCTCAGCCTCCCAAAGTGCTGGGATTACAGGCATGAGCCACCACACCCAGCAATAACTTAAATTTTCATCAGCATTAAGGATTAGATAACAGCTGTCTAAGTAGCATACAGAATGGATAAAAACATTGCCCAAGGCAAACTAAATTTCACTTTACTTCAAATTTGCTTTGTGTTGTGCTTGCTTATTCATCAAGTCATGGTATATTTTAACATGGTACCATTCCTTGTCAACTGTGAGCACAGATGATAGACTTTTAGTTTAAAAGAAATAAAACAAAAGACAAGAATAAATTAAATATATGCAAAGTACTAGATTCTGAAGATAACAAGAAGATGAACAAAATCCATGGGACTTGTAAAAGTATATAAATACATTTTTTTCCTAATTCTTAAATTGGGCACTTGTAATAGAAATAGTTAAAAACAAGCAAAGACAATTATTCTGTTCTTTACCCAAGACAATCAAGAGACAAATGTTCTTTGATTTATGATGGTTTCATAAGAAAACTTAAGCTTCATTTAGTCATTTAATGAGTTCAGCTTTGTCAATTAAAATAATTAAGGAATCATAGCATTACCTATATACATCTAGAATAAAAAGTTTCTTCCTATTAAAAATGCTTTGAAAAGGTTACTAATATGTTTAAATACCCAAATAATTTGTTACTAATATATCACAAGGAATATCATTTTATTACTGTAATCACAAAATCATAATTTCTGTACAGGAATGTATAAGTGAACATTATTCAAAGCATTGATAATTCACTTCATAAAGAGGGTAAACATACTACAGAACATATTGTAAAGAAAAAAATATTGTAAAATTTTCTGGTCTTGCAGTGCACTATTTAGTGCAAGTATTTAAGACACAATAGTGTTCAATTCAGCAAAGTATTGCAGAATGTCATGCCACAGTCCACTTAATTCAAAGAGGGTCAGGACATGCAGCTTGTAATAAAATGTCGGAGTGTGTGTGTGTATGTGTGTGTATATATATATATAAAACCACATGTAATTCATAAAATATATAGTGGTTTATTTAGATGGTTTTAAATGATTTCACTGTGGAATTCAACATAACTGGAACAACATCGACAGTCTTCTTAACAGCAATAATCTTATTGCTAGGCAATGGCTTTGGCTTCAGGTAGGAATGCTTCCCAGTATTTTATCAGCTGTGAATGAAAATTAAAATAAAAGTTATTCTCATTACCTTTTTGTCATTTATATGCATATATCCTGTACAGCATTAACAAAAATCTACATAGGTCGGGTGGGGTGGCTCACACCTGTAATCCCAGCACTTTGGGAGGCTGAGGTGGGTGGATCACCTGAGTTCAGGAGTTTGAGACCAGCCTGGCCAACATGGTGAAACCCCATCTCTACTAAAAATACAAAAATTAGCCTGGCAATGTGGCGCGTACCTGTAATCCCAGCTACTCGGGAGGCTGAGGTAGGAGAATCACTTGAATCCAGGAGGCAGAGGTTGCAGTGAGCCAAGATCACACCACTGCACTCCAACCTGGACAACAGAGCGAGACTCCGTCTCAAAAAAAAAAAAAGGAAAAAAAGCAAAAACAACATAAAAAAACTACACAAATAGCTAACTAACAATGACTAATATTTACTAATGTCTGGGTTTTTTAAATTGTTTTCTTGAGGCGGAGTTTCGCTCTTGTTGCCCAGACTGGAGTGCAATGGCATGACCTCGCCTCACTGCAACCTCCACCTCCCAGTTCAAGCAATTCCCTGCCTCAGCCTCCTGAGTAGCTGGGATTACAGACGCGCCACCACGCCCAGCTAATTTTTTTGTATTTTTAGTAAAGACGGGGTTTCTCCATGTTGGCCAGGCTGGTCTCAAACTCCTGACCTCGATGATCCACCCGCCTCAGCCTCCCAAAGTGCTGAGATTATAGGCATGAGCCGCGCCCAGCCAATGCCCAGTTCCTAAAGGAATCATTTTAATTTCCTTATCTAAAGTCCGTCAATATAGTTCATATATAAATTATTTAAAACATTAATTACTCCTGGCTACTTTTATTTTTGATGTAAAATAATAGAGTTCTTTTAATGTACAATTTTTTATTTTATGCAAAATTTTACCAGAACAGTGTTACCATATATTAAATAATACAACTTCAATGACCTTTTCCAGCATAAAGTGATAAGATTTCCCAATTCAGAGCATATTGATAGTTTACGTTATTGCTAGACAAGAAAAATGGAATATAAGGAGGAAGAAAAGAAAATATTGAACAAGAAAAAAAAAACGACTGGATAGAACTAGCTGTCAGTCTTCCTTTAATAGTCCAGAGAACAGACTGAAATATAAACTGAAGTCATGTTTAAAACAATTCCTTTAAAAACAAGGTTATATGACTTATTTTCACATTTTTAAAAATTTAACTTTATGAACTATTTAAATAAAAGTTAAAGACAATTTGAAGATATCATACCACTTAATTCAAAAACAACCTATTATATTTTACACAAATGACATTCTAGATCCACATGTTTTAAAACTGGAAGAAAAATTCTATTCAAGATATTGAATTACTTGACCTGTTACTCTAATTTACATTAAAATATACAGGAAAATTTTCTGCGATTATCTTTTTATTTAATATACCATTAAAATCCATGGTAAAGTAGACAAATGCCACTTGCAGCATTCAACCACCACCAACCCCAAACAAAATAAAGCAAAAAGAAAACAGTACAGTTTTTTTTTAATTCTGAAAAACTGTTTAGTTTAAGTTCTATTTGTTATAGAAGAGAAGAACTTATTATGAGAATTTACTCAAACAGGTCTAACCAACAAAGAAAACAAACTAGAAAGACAGTGAAAGGGGAAACTTGCCCATGAGGTTTCTGATGGCCTAAAATTGGGAAAAGTCGATCTCTGCCAGCTTAGTGTTAAGCAGAGGGAAAAAAAAAACCCAAAAAACCAAGATAGTTTCCAATGAGTTTACCCTTTTATCCTTTACCATCACTGGCTTTCTGTCTTCCATTTCTTATTCTTGAGTTTAAAAGCCCAGTTCATTAATCATCCTTTTAAAATAAGGAAGTATACCAAAAACAACTTCTATAAGTTTAAGTTATAAACAAAAATGGCTTACCTGTTGTTGTGTTTGAACTAGTGATTCTAAGTACTTGATGATAACGGTTTTAAAATCCTTCACTCGTTCTTTCTGTTGAAGTACATTTTTAAAAGTCTGTTAGTAGAAAGCTAAATTCAACTTTACCACAAAATTGCAGCAAAATGTGACCATGTTGTTAAGATAAATGCAAAATTATTATACATGCCTCAAATCTTCCCACTTCTTTTCGAATCGTTTTAGATATCTGTTCAAAATCTCTTTCCCCTTGTTGCACTTTCGCCTCCCACTAATAAAAACAAACAAAGAAATATTTTACGCTTATCTCAAAAAAAAGTATAGTACTGTCATGACTGCTCACTTAATCACAATACCTGAAAATTCTGAGAAAGCTCAATATTGGCAAAGCACAATTTAGCATCAACAGAAATTGTATAACTTTCAACCAATAGAAATGCATGTTAGCTTAATTTCCATTAATATTCCACAGATTTGCTCAATATTAAGATATTTCAATACTGTACTTAACAAACTACAATATCCAAAGCTTAATTAAATATAACTAAGAGGAAAGATTTTGGGCATAAAATTCACCACAAAATAAATTATCAGTGTTACAGTGTAATTTTCTTAATTACTTTTTTATATCAGTAATTATTTCAGAATATATCAATACTGTTCAATCCAAGGATATGTGTTCATCAAAATTTATATGCTGATGGAAATACTTTAAATTAGGAAAATTACATGATAAACATTTTAAAAACATTTTTGTAATGGTAAAATGATCAGATTGGAAAAAAATGTGGAATTATGTTCTACTGAAGACCATCAATAAATATTAAATTCAGTACAGAAACAACAAAATGTTGTGATTAGTGAACAATGAAACAACTAAAATAACTGAAGATTTAAGCAATGAAATGATATTTTTCCCACTGTGTAACCAAAACACTGGTACATACTCTTCAAAGGGCAGGTACATTTATTGTTAGTAATATAAAGGTTGTCCTACCTCTTCAATTTCCTTATTGAAGCATGGTAAGAAAAGTGTATAAATTATAATAAACTTATACAAATTCACTAAAATACCATATATAATACATATATATGGGGGATAATGTTGCCTGGACAGTTAAATGTGGGAGAGATCTAGCTCCAAAACCATTTTTAGACAGAAAATAATAATCTGAAATAAAATTAACCATCTAATAATAAATGTGTAATTATTAAAGTAAAGGTTAATTTTAGCTGTTTCCCTTGTATGCTTCTTTATCCGTTCCATAAGTAACAAAGGGCTCTGGAGATTTAAATAATGATCAAAATGTTGAAGTAATTCTCACAGTTCATAAAAATATGCAAAAATAGCTACGTGTTGAATGGTTTAGAAAAAAATTATGAAAAATTATGTATATATGAATGACTCATGAAAAACTTAAGAGATAAAGCATTTAGTAATCACCTCTCTGATTTCATTTTTAGCTTGCTGTATTTTATCTGGTTTGTTAGCAACCATCATTTTTGCTTCAGCTTCACGTTTTTTGAGCAAAGTAATTTGAGCATCTTCCCATTTCTGCCAGCACTTCATTCGATGGTCAAACACACCCTATAAGTGAATAACATAATGCTATTAAGTAAGAGTAACATTTAAAATACTTTCATAACACTAGAAGTGTTATCATACTGAAAGCAATAAAACCAAGTATTTAAGTCCTATTCTAATATACTAAGATACTGAAAGTAAGTATGCCAATATCAAAGAAAATAATCTCCATATTCATTTGCTTAAAACAAACAAAAAAAAAACCCTGTCACTGCATGAAACACGTTCAGAATAAAAACTACATTCAAAACCCATTTCATCACTAGCCTTTAAGCTAGTGTGGTTTATAAGATTTATAACAGCGTTTTACTCTTCGAAGAAAGATGTCTTTAATAGGAAAATGCTAGCGTCATACCTACACTGGAAATTTTCCCGTTAAATAATATCAAAAGCATATTAAGTATTAGAAACATGTCTGAAATTGAAAAGACAAAATGAGAAAAACTCATAACATATGTGGTAGAAGAAATTACCATAGCAAATTAAAAAAGGCAAAGCAATTAAAAAGTAAAATATAACAAAATGAATAAAAAGTCTTATACAAGATGAAAAGGGCAAAAGATGAAAAGAGGACTATATATATATTTTTATATATACACTGCAGAACTAAAGAAATAGACAAAAAGATCCTAATACAGTAAGTCAACCAAATCCATGACTTCTCTCAAGGAGTCTGGCAGAGGCAAGAGTAAGTGAATAGAGAAAATAAATGAAATATGGGCAAATTAATTAGAAGTCTCATGAGAAAAATGATGGATAGGATGGGAGAACCCACTAAGAATCCCCTTTCTGGCTTCATGTTAGAGAAATATTAAAATTATTTTAGTAATTACTAATCAAACATTCATGAAGTAAACATTAATAAATTGGGTGAACCAGGAAGCACTAAACCCAAGTTATTTTAATTTATTACAAATAAAAAACTTTTTGAACCATGAAGTAGTAAAAATACATGTTCCTTTAGGGATCTGCTGAAGAGAAAAATATGTAGTTAGTGTATTTTTAAAAAGCAGGCTTTGGAGAAAATCAAATTTGGTTCTAATTTTAGTTTTGTCACTCTAAGACCACAGGTAAATTCACTGAACTTCTCCAAGCTGTAATGCTCCCAAATATAAAAGGTGGGAAGTGATGTTTACATTTATGGATTAGAAATAACATGAGGAGTATATTATTGCATAGTGTCTTAACCTAGTGGATGCTTCATAATCAGTAGGCACAGCCATTATGGATTACTTCTAAATAACATACACACGGAAATGTAGTTAACTGTTAAGCTTTCTATTAAAAGTGTAAAGAATAGCTTAGTATTATGGAAAAAATGTATAATTAGACAGCATTTATATCATATGGCAATTTTTTAAAATGTGATAATAGCATTTAAAAATCCAGTCAACCAGAAACCAAAGTATTTTTCCAAAAGAATTCTTAAAGATCGTGAACATTTTAAATTAACTAGGACAACAGATATCCACGGCAAACTAGCAATCAAAGTACCTTATCTATGGGTATTTAAATCCACTTTGCTGTATGTGTCTTCTCGGATACTTTTGCTTACATTAAGTGAATCTTACTGTCCCCTTTGTCTGCTTTTCTTATATTTAAAGTACCACATTTTCCCTAAAACATCCCTTATTATAAATTAACTTTGCTTTAGTCAAATTAAGTTAGGCTAAAATCCAAAAGTAACACATCTAACATGAATAGATTCAGAAAAAGTTACTACCATTTAAAACAACAGTGTTCAATTCTTTGGCTTTCCTGGGCCACACCAGAAGAATAATTATCTTTGGCCACACATAAAATATACTATCACTAAGCGATGAGCTAAAAAAAAAAAAAAGTCATGAGATTTTTTTTTTTTTTTTTGAGACAGAGTCTCGCTCTGTCGCCCAGGCTGGAGTGCAGAGGCGCGATCTCAGCTCACTGGGAACTCCGCCTCAGCCCACTGCAAGTTCACGCCATTCTCCTGCCTCAGCCTCCAGAGTAGCTGGGACTACAGGCGCCCGCCACTATGCCCAGCTAATTTATTTTTATTTTATTTTTAGTAGAGATGGGGTTTCAACGTGTTAATCAGGATGGTCTCGATCTCTTGACCTTGTGATCCGCCCGCCTCAGCCTCCCAAAGTGCTGGGATTACAGGCGTGAGCCTCTGCGCTCAGTCATGTATGACAGTTTGTGAATTTGTGTTGGGCCGCATTCAAAGCTGTCCTCGGCCGCATGTTGGAAAGGCTTGATTTAAGACAATCTCTCTCACCTCACACACACACACACACACACACACAAACACACATACACACGACTAACCAAAAAGTAATGTAAGATTTTAGGCCTAGTCTTGCTTTAGGGGAACAGGGTCTTATCTTTTCTTCATTTATAAATTCCTCTGTTCAGTAACAATTTGATTCCTCAAAATATGTACCAATACAAGGAAAAAGTTAATGTACATGCCCTTTAATTCAATATTGGCTTAAGTTCTCAATGTATATCAACTGGCTTTGCATTGATATGCTAAATCTAAACTAATTTCGTCCCTGTCCAATTTATTATCTTATAGTATTCCAGAACAGGACATGTTTATTGTGGTACAGATGTAGGAGCTATGATAAAAGTAAGACTACTAAAGTCAGGTTATTTCAGGAAAAAAAAATTGATCTTAAATATACAAATTAACTTTTTCTTCATTTGTTTTCTTACCTTTGTAACAAAATAACAGAAAATAAAAGAAAAAAAGAACCAGCACCAGTCAAATTTCTAACAATGCTATATTAAACCAATTAAATCATAACAATGTTTCCCTTTGCATGTCAAGATACTAATCCACTCTAGTAGAACCATTATAAGAGGGATAAGTTTACAGGGATCATCCATTTAGGACCTCCATTCCTCTGCTAATTTATGGCATACATTTGTATGCAAGCTGCTCTCAATTAGACAAGATTCCAGATGTCTAACAGTTTTTTTGGCCCATCAGGAAATTTGAAGCTACAATTTTAATTATCATATTATAATTCAGTTAATCTAAAAATATGCTGCCCAGCTTCATGGAGTTCTGAAGAGGTGCCGAGTATCTATAGACAAACAACAAAGCGTTTAAACCCCTTGGGGAACCCATCTTTTAGTTAAAAATTTTTTTTTAATATGTTTTATAAATTGGGATCCCCTACAAAAATTATTTATGAAAAGTTCTAGTGCTAAAAACATTAAGAACTATTGCCCTCAATCTCTGACCCTACTCTAGTGGTTCAAAGAAGCCCAATACATGACAATGCTTGTAAGGATACAGCCAAAACTTATAGTTCTAAATTTCAGAGACCACGTACTATACAAAAGAGGAAAGCAGGAGTTTCCTGACACAACGCCAGGCTTAGGCAATATTTCGAAATGTGTAAAATTTAGCTTTTTCTTTGGTGTTCCAATTTCTGATGTTCTTTGATCCCAACAATGGCTCTATATTAATCCCCAAAGTACTCCTAATTTGAAGAATTGTCATCAGAAAAGTACACTCGATATGGATAAAACCAAAGGTTAATTAATATTAAGCAGCTATTCGAAATAGATAATAAGCAAACAAAAACTGGGCAAAGGACATTAACAGTTCATTCATAGAAAAAGAAATGTAGGGCCGCGTGCGGTGGCTCATGCCTATAATTCCAGCGCTTTGGGAGGCCGCGGTGAGTGGATCACGAGGTCAAGAGATGGAGACCATCCTGGCAAGGTGAAACCCCGTCTCTACAAAAACTACAAAAATTAGCTGGCTGTGGTGGCACACACCTACAGTCCCAGCTACTCAGAAGGCTGAGGCAGAACTGCTTGAACCTAGGAGGCGGAGGTTGCAGTGAGCCAAGATCGCGCCACTGCACTCTAGCTCGGCGACAAAGCAAGACTCCATCTCAAAAAAAGAGAAAAGAAAGAAAAAGAAATGTAAAATGGCTTATCATTTGTAAAGATGTCTTGATTCACACTAAGTAAATGACAACTTATTAAAAAAAAAAAACCTTCATTCTTGGGTGGTAGTAAGAAGAAACGTGTAGGTTTAGGTAGGTTAGGGTACAAAGCAAAATCTTTTTGAACAGTAATTTGGCAATACTTATTGAAATTTAAAATGCATATACCCTTTGGTCAGCAATCCTACTTATAGAATCTTTATGTCCAAAGACTTATCAAAATACTTGATTTTTTAAAAGACTAGACTATAATTCAAGGTGTATCTAAATGTTATATGATGGAATGCTATATAACTGTTAAAAAGACATCTACCTACATTGATAGGGAGACTGCTCTATTAAGTGGAGTGGGTGTAAAAAGCAGACAAAGAACACTAAACACAGTATATTCCTTTTTGAGAGAGGAAGGGAGGGAGAGAAGGGGATGGAAGGAATAAATGGACAGAGGGGAGAGAATTAGCTTCATGTACATGCATAGCTAATTCTGTAAAGACACACAAGAACCTAACAGTTTATGACTGAGGTCAGAGACTACAGGTCGTAGTTCTGCAAGGAAACTTACCTTGCTGGGCTATTAAAACTATCATGTATGTGCATTATTCTTTCAAATACAAGTGAATTAGTTCAAAACAAAGAATATGACAAAAACAAAAACTGTAAAAATTACCTGTCACCCCATTCCATAATATCTCAATTCCTTTGTGCAGTTGATCTGGGCTAGGTTTCAGTAGAAACCAATCTTAAAGAGCTTAATTTACCTGAAGGCAAATTGACTACAACTCTTTAACTCTTTCAGTCAATGAAATCATTAATTCAGTATTTCCACAAATGTGTTCCATATATGTAAATAGACATTTGTTGGAAAATAATTCTTGTTCAAATGAATTTAGAAGCCTCTGGATTAAAATTTGTTTTCTTTTTCACTCCTAACCAGTTCTGAGCTTTTAAAATGCATTCTGAATCTTGCAAACAGGGATACCATATACAAAACTTAGCTAACTGTAATCCATCTTTTGGTGCCAGTGTTCTATAGAAAGTATTTTGGAAAACATGAATATAACTATAATTTCAGGAAATATAATAACACAGCAAAAAGACTTAGGGTATGAGGAAAGCTGTTTTTGAGGGATCAATATCCATTATACAGGCAGGCCATCACTGCCAGGGGGTCTTTTTCCAGGCTAGCTCTTATTAGCAGATATGCATTCTTCTTCTTTTTTTTTTTTTTTTTTTTTTTTTGAGATCAGACAAAGAACACTAAACACAGTATATTCCTTTTTGAGAGAGGAAGGGAGGGAGAGTTAAAATTTTTTTTTTAATATGTTTTATAAATTGGGATCCCCTACAAAAATTATTTATGAAAAGTTCTAGTGCTAAAAACATTAAGAACTATTGCCCTCAATCTCTGACCCTACTCTAGTGGTTCAAAGAAGCCCAATACATGACAATGCTTGTAAGGATACAGCCAAAACTTATAGTTCTAAATTTCAGAGACCACGTACTATACAAAAGAGGAAAGCAGGAGTTTCCTGACACAACGCCAGGCTTAGGCAATATTTCGAAATGTGTAAAATTTAGCTTTTTCTTTGGTGTTCCAATTTCTGATGTTCTTTGATCCCAACAATGGCTCTATATTAATCCCCAAAGTACTCCTAATTTGAAGAATTGTCATCAGAAAAGTACACT